GAGGGGCACCCCCCTCACCTCGTAGCTGCACTGCTGGAAGACACTGTCCCTTTAGGTACCACAACAGGAAAAGGAACCTGAAAGAATAATTTGGGGTCTTTTCTTCTCCTTAGCCTGGAAGTTATACATGCCACTAATGGATCACTAGATGATCTTCCTGAGGAGGATCTATGAGAGAGGGTAAAGGGGCTTGTAAAAAAAATGAAAAAAGAAGCAGAGTGGAGGCAAGTCAGACAGCCAAGCCAGACACTAGAAAAATTAAAGAAGAAGAATTCTACCTAAAAGTGAAATATGCTGAAGTAGTCTTGCCTTGAGTAAAACCTTCCTTATTCAGGTGCCTAAGGGATACTCCCAAGAGAAGCTTCCCTTTGCCCACCAGCACAGTCTGCAGTCAACTTCTACCCAGAGAAAGTGCCTGTCAGGAAGAATGACCCTCACATTTTCTGAGGGAATCACCATCAGATTCCTTAGTCACTCTGTCTACACTGCCTCAGCATAGGCCAGGATCACTGTGCTTTTAATTAAAGCCGCTCTTGTCAGAGAGGAAAATGGTATTGTTTTCACGGGATAAATTTCTAAAGTGAAATTACAGATTGAAAGGTATGCCCATCTTTAAATATAGCTGTACTTGTATATATAGCTGCCAGACCTCTGTGGAAGCTCCTGCTTCCTCATATTTTCTCCTTTTCTGAGTTTTGTCAATCTTTCAAATCTTTATAAAGATGATGGTAGTGGTGGTGGTGGTGATTATTCAACAAAATCCTGTTGAATAAACAGAAAAGTCATGACTTGGGGAAAAGGGATAATTTAAAGTACAGAGAACAGTTCAAAATTGAGGATTCTGAGAGATCTGTAAAAGATTTAATGAAAAAAGATACTAATATATTATAATAAACAGATATCTAAGGAAAAAACAAGGGTTGATGAAATAATAATTTTAATAAATGAATTTAAATATATATATATATATATATATATATATATATATGTGTGTGTGTGTGTGTGTGTGTAAAAGAAAAAGAAAACCATGAGTTTTAAAAGAAAAACTAAGTTTAATATCTCTCTCACTAATTAGCATTGCTACTAGAGATGGTATACTAATAATAGTAATAAAAATCTTGACAATTTTAGTGAGTTGAAGAAACATGTATCTGTTGATTAGAACTGACATTGATTTTTGAGAAAGATTAAAACAAACAAACAAAAAGTTAAATCACTAAATATAACCATCAAAGTTGAAAACACTAAGGAGTCAGAGAATATCCGAAATGCTTCCAGAAAAGGGACAAAAAAACCAACCAATCAATTAACTAAAAACAAGTTCCCCCAAAATGCACAAAAGCCAACAGAGCACAAAAGATGTAACTATAATTACAGAACCAATATTACAAGTCTTGACACTTGCATCACTAATTCTATAAAAGGGAGAAGAGGAATGTAGTATATGTTTTAAATTCATCCTCTCTTAATCTAATATGAAGAATTTAGAATTGTACATATGTTTAGTGCAAAGTAAAGTGGTTGTGTCTAAAATACGGAACCTGTGGTGTTGGGGTATTTTTAAAATAAGAGTTCTGTGAGATTTTTTTTTCATTGAGTTTATTGGTACTTTTAAGATTTAATTTTAAAAGCTGTTTGCATATATTAGTGATGGGAAAAGAATCACCAGCAATCAGTCTGCCTACACAGAGGCTCGCCCTTTCTGATAACAGGTTGTGTTCTGTGGCCACTTTCCCCAGTCAGAGCCTCCCCAGGCCTGCGTATACTGAGCTGCAGTATAACTCTGCGTGCTATGCTGCAGGGCAGTTGGGAGAGCAGTGAGTCCAGAGGGCCAAAGCGGAGGAAACTAACTCTCTTGATTTTCTTATTAGTGAGACTTAACCAGTCTCTCAGCCTTGCTTGCCCCATTTTTTAAAGTGGAGAGAAGGATTAAATTGATGAATTTCCAGTTAGCAGAATTCTGGGATTGATGGAAAAATACTTAGGGAGGAGGTTCTCAGAATGTGGGGGCTCAGATTCCTGTCTCCCAATTCCAGCAAAGCTGTTGTTTGTTTTACTTGTTTAAGCATTGATTTCCATATGGGAATCTCATTTGAGTGAAGGACACCATGTTAAAAAGGTGCGAATTTCATGGGGCTTTTCCCCCTTTGCGTTCTTTTGAGTCCTGAAATCCTAAGATTCTGGGGAAGACAGCCCCCTCCCACTCGTGCACACTCACACATGTGACTGAACAATTTTTTTGGGGGGCTGTCTTTGAAAATAAATTGAGGATAAAAGATTCCTTTGGAATAAGTACACACTATTAAGAAGAAAATGTAAGATTAAATTTAATGTCAGATTTTCAGTTTAAGTCATTCTGTAAGTACCACATTTCATATCTGTTAAGTTTTTGTTGATCAAGCTTCCTAATATGCATATAGCTCTATCCTCTTGCAAATTTATGGGCTATTTTTTATCTGAGGCAAAGATATGTAATAGTTTAATTAAATCTCCCCCTACTTACTCTATCCTGGTGCTTTCCAGCCCCACATTTTTTTTTTCTACTGTCTGTGAGATGATAGAAATGACAGAAAGGAGACATACTGCTGGGGCTGTGCAAATTCCTGGATATAAATTAATCTTAAATTAATCTGGAAAACATTAAATTAAACTAATATTTAATGAAGTTTAGCTTTTGAGAAGTAAATTGTGACTTGATTCAGTATTTCAGTGCAGGTGGTTGCAGTAGAATAGGGCCTGGTAATCAGACATCTCACTGGAAGCTTAGTTGTATTAGAATGTCTTAGGTCAGGATTGTATTTGGTATTTCTCATTTTTTTAAACTAGAGAAGAAACCTCTTTTTTTTCTGTGACTTTTAAAACTCTTTGCTTTGTTTCTATGCAATCACTTCTCTACCTAAATTTCATTCTTTCAATCATCCACTGATGAGTTGCTAAGTGTCTACCTCAGGTCGGGAGTGGGGATTTTACAGTGAACAAGCAGACACCTGCCCTGCCGAAGACTACTATGTTGTGGAAATTTATATTGGTCAACATCGCCATAACCAGTGAGTTCAAGATGGTGGGGGTCTGGGAGTTTATTTCCATGACCATGTGGGCCTATCTGTCTAACTTGGAGGTGCATCAAAGTATACAGATCACATCGCCCTACCAGTGTGACTTGGTGTTTAAACTGGTCAAGAGCAAATGGAAATGGACATTAGCTAGTTCTTACTCCAGAGAAGATAGCTGTTGTGGTCCCTTTGCCAAAGCAAGAGGGACAACCTACTCAAATTTAGTTTGAATATCAAGATGAATGACACCACACACACAAACCCTAAGAGAGTATGAAAATATCTTTACACAACTGAGGTCTCTGGGGAGAGACCAGGAGGTCACTCAAGCAAGATTAACATGGCTTGAGAAATCCAGGAAAGGAGGCTGGCCTTGGGTCCCCAGTGTTGGGAAATGGGACTGGTGAAGGTTCCTGAGTGCTGGTGAAGTTCCTTTTGGGATTTGAATTTCCTGTATGTTTCAAAGGAGTGCTTTGCTAGGAAAAGGGAGGAGAAGGCTTAAAAGCTATCAGTAAGGAGGGTCAAAAGTGGAGTCAGGCTCTTCAAGAAAATGGCTAGTCTCTTTCCCCAGATGAAGCAAAGCTTTTCTTTTTTTGAATCCTAAACCTCCTAATTTATATGAGGCTAGATTCAGTGCCTATGTAGGAGAGTTGGTTATGATTTTCCATCTCAACTCAATTTTAATAACAGACTCAAGGACAACTGGTTTCCTTTATTGTGTAACTGCAGCCCAGGAGAGCAGGTCTAGAGGGACTTCAATATAGATTCCTTGGACTAAGGATAGAATAAGATGAGGTCTGCTTCATATGTTTCAGGTGATCTTTTGGTTTGCTTGATTGTGAAACTTTTAACAGGAGTTGTGACGGGAATTGTGTTATGGTATATTTAGATCTGTAAGACTCCCCACCAAAGCCTCATGTGCTCAGAGGTAGTGCTTCTAGAAGGTGATTGGATCATAGTGTAGGGGGGCACTATGCTCATCAGTAGATTAACCTATTGCAGAGTTTAAAATTACTGAATGTGCTGTTAAAGGTAGAGTCTGCTTGTAAGAGTGGGTCACTGGGGAAGTGACCTGAGGGTGTATTCTTATCCCTGGATCCTCCTATTCTCTCTGCTTCTTGGCTGACATGGTTTTAGCAGTTTTCCACCATCGTGCCCTTCTTCCCTGCCAGTTCTGCCTGGTGTCAGCCAACTGTAGATGGAACCCACAGAAACTACAAGCCCAAAATAAATCTCTCCATGGCAATGTAAACTAGTATAACCACTATAGAAAGCAGTATAGAAAGTCCTCAAACAACTAAAAATAGAAATTCTATCCAGCCATTGTCTTTCTAGAAATCTTGCTGAAAAAGCCGACAAGACCATATTACAGTGATCCATACATACCCATGTTTATAGGAGCACAACTCATACTAGTTAAATTTAAAAAGTGGCCTATATGTTCATCAACAGGAAGAATGGTAAAGAAAATATGGTATTTATACACAATGAAGTACTACTATTCAGCTATTAAGAAAAATAGTTTGAGTCATCTATATGAAAATAGATACACTTGATACCATGATTTTACATAAAATTAATCAAACATATAATCTTAAATATTGTGTGGTTTTTCTTGCATGAGAAAACCAAAGTATAAATAATTTAAAGAGCAAAATAAATGATAGGTAATGCAAAATAGGAAGATAGGTCCCCTACAAATGGAAAAGAGAATCACAAATGAGGTTCAGTAAAGGGAGGGTAAGGGGAAGTAAAAAGAATTTGTGTTATGTGCATGTACCAAGCTTCCATGATGAATGTAACCAATATGCACATCAAACATGTACTAATGAACATTTTAAAAAGATAAAAAAAGAAACCTCTTCTTAAATTGCAGGTTTTGAGTATTTTGTCCCAGTGATGGGAAAGTGACTAAGACAAGCTGAGTATCAGCTGATTTAAAGGAGACATCTTGACAACCTGTGAAGGTTGTGTTGTTGAGGGTAAATTTTTACATTATTAATCACACAGCAGATAGTGATATCTATGATGTGCTGTGAAGATTAGGGGATCTAAATTAAACCACTTGGTCTTAAATTGTTGGAAATTAACTCATTTTCTTCTTGTTCTTCTTACATAATCTTTCTTCTTTCTTACCTTGCTTCCTTGTTTTTCCATTTCTCTCTCTCTCTCTCTCTCTGTCTCTCTCCCTCCTTCCTTTCTCTTTTTTATAGGGCTGTAAGAAAGGAGATGAAGGTATAGTAACACAAGACATAGTATAGTTAGATTTAGCATTTTGCTTTTTAAATGTACCGCACACTGTATGGTGATAAAATTCTAGATTTGGATTATTTTACTTCAACTATTCCTTAAAAATAAACCTTCTGCTGGTAAACTTTCCTTGGTCTTTTATCAATGCTGTGGATGTGAAGCTACTTTGGAAACAAACCTGCTGCTGTCCAGGTTCAACTGGCATGGAAGGTGCTGTCTGTTCAGGAGAAAATTAGGTGCAAATCATGGAAGAATAAGAAATGAAAATATTTGGAGAAAACATTGTCCATCTTTGAAAAAATGGGCATATTCTCTTCCAAATTGTTCAATTAACCCTGAAAAAATCAAAGAGTATTTACATTGTGAAAAATGACAGGAAAAACCACAAATTAGAAAACAGCTGATTCCATTGCCAGGGCTTCTATTATTTCTAATTTTTGGTCAGTGACATGGCATTTAAAAGGGTTTGTGTAAGAAATCAACCAATTACAAATGCTGGCAGGGTTATGGGGAGAAAGGAACCCTTCTGCTTGTTGGTGGGAGTGTAGACTGGTGCAACCACTGTGGAAATCAATATGGAGATACCTCAAAAAACTAGGATTAGAGGTTCCATTTGACACAGCTATCCCTCTGCTGGGTATCTTTGCAAAAGAATTAAAAGAATCATACCACAGTGATATATGTGCACACATTTTTATAGGAGCACAATTTGTTATAGCTAAAACTTGGAAATAGCCCAAGTGCCCATCAGTTGGAGACATGATAAAAAAGATGTGATTTTTCTACAAAATGGAGTACTACTGAGCCAAAAGGAATGAGAAACTAGAGTGATTCATAGGAAAATGGATGCATACTGAGGCCATACTCTTAGGTGAAATAAATCAAATACACATATGTAAATACCGAATAGTTTCTCTGGTATGAAAAACTATAATAGTACACAAGATCCTAGTGAGATAATTGACAATATGAAATAGGAAGAAAAGGGCTAAAGAAGTAGGGGAAGTGGGAAGGGTAGGAAAAAGGAACTAAGGCAAAAGAAAAAATGTGAAAAAAGGAAAAAAATTGAAATGTCACTGTAAATAGGGAAGGGTGGAGGAGGTGAAAGGAGGCCAGGGGAATGTGGAAAAAATAAGAACCAAGATATGCCATGTAAAGGTACAAGATCCCAATGATGGATGTAACTCTATTGCATACACAAAAAGTATCAATAAACTTAATGAAAAAATAAATGAAAGGGCTTGTGTAAAGGCCTAATTGCTCTACTTGATTAAAAGGTTTGTTTCTTCAGAGACTGTTACAAGGCAAGAGGAAGCAAGAGAGCCTAGGCAGTTTGAGCATTAGAAACTTTTGACAAATATAAAGGAGAAAGTCAGACGAGATCAGGCGCGTTCAGGGTGGTATGGCCGTAGACAAGAAAGTCAGCATAAATAGGAATTTTCCAACTTCATTACAGTAACAACAGTAGGTTTTCTTTTGAGTGGGACTTTGTTTTTGTGGCTGCATTTCAAGATTTCATTTAGGTGAGTTTCTTCATTAAGCCTGGTTTCCTGGAAGAGATGTGCTGCATTATTTTGCTAGATATGCTGCTAGATATTGAGTGCAATTTTGGCCCATTACTGGGAGAATTATGCTATCTCAACCAACACACTCTCCACATTTTTTTTTTTTTTTTTGTACCAGGGATCAAACCGGTCCTTATTCCTACCCTGGTGCATTATAAGTCAAAAATAAAATGCTATAATTCAGAAGAGTCTGGGCCCAGAAAGGGTGAAGATAAGTCTCCCTAGATCGCATTAATACTATTCAAGTTTTTAAACACCTACCACATGAAAGACACTACTAGATGTTATGACATGTACAGGGAAGGACAAGACATGGGCTCTGTTGTCAAGGGTGAAGATAATTTGTGTGTGTGTGTGTGTGTGTGTGTGTGTGTGACAGTGTGTAATAGCACTGGCAAAGATAGCATGGTACACAAGCACAGTAAAAATGCTAAATAAGGGGAATGTTAAGCATAGTTTAAATACAAGGAGAAAAGAGGCTTGGATCAGCAAAGTATTAGTAACAGAAGTGGAAACAGATATGGAAACATCAACAGGGTAAAACCACTTAAACTCATCAGGCTCTCTCAAGGACAGAAATGAAAAATAGGAAGAGTGTTAAGTCGAAGGAGAAAGGAATATGCACTATGGTCATTTAACAATATATAAAATTTGGAGCTCCCTGAAGGCCTTGATCAAGATTTATAGTAATTATAACTGAGAAGTAAAAGTATGCCTTTAATACTCAATACTTGAGTGTGTACTCACTTATGAGGGCTCATTTTTGGGGGTTACTCTGGTGAATAAAATTTCCTCATGTCATTGCAACCATGCCTCTTCCTCTTTTAGGAGGGAATAAAATGGGCCTGGGGTGGTGACATGATTTCAAGCTTTAGTTTACTCCTGTGCACAGGCTCTTCTGTCCTTGATGATCCCACTGGAAAAATCCATTCCTCCACCTCCTTCTGAAGAGCCTCTATAATCACCTCAAACTTTTTCTCACATACCACCCCTTTCTTGAGATCCCATCCAGATTTCACCTCTATACATATCAAGGGTCTTATTGTAATACTGACTGTGCATTATAAAGCCTGAGTTTTGTGTATTCCAGTGGCATCTCCACTCCAGGTTCTAGGTATTATATATAAGGGATGTGGATTTATTTAGAAAATAATCTAAGCCAAGAATGAGAAAATTGGACCGACAACTATTTTTTGTGTCCATAAGAAGATTTTCTAACTTAGATTTTTGGATATTTTCCATACATATGAAGGTGCTTTAATTATTTAAAATATTATTTTCCCTTCCCTCACCTCATCTATCACCTAATTACATTATTGAGTTTACCTGATTCATACTAGTTAGTTTTTTTTTAAACATGAGTAGGTCTACAGAGAACTGAAGATATAATTTCTACATGTGTGTTCATGTAATTTTTATTTTTTAAAAATTTTTGATGCCAGGGATTGAACTCTGGACCTTGTGCTTGCAAGGCAGGCAGCAGTACCACTGAGCCAAATCACCGGCCCTATGTGATTTTTAAAAATTCATGCTTTGAGCGCTAAAATCTTAAATTCTTGTCCTGTCAATGTCCTGTTCACATGTTTAAAAATAAAAATACTTTATGAAAGAAATTTGATAGCAAAAAATGACTGAAGTCAAGACTCAGAAGTAGGTGATAGAGAACATAAAAGCTCCTTCACTTTTTCAGAATATTAGCATAGAAAAAGAAAAGCGCATGACCGGAAAAAGGGTCTACTCTGAAAAGAAACTCTTGGTGTATGATAGGTTGAGCCCTTAATTCTTAAACTGGAATTACCCTCTTGTCACATTTCTGGACAGTGTTCAAGAGTGGTGCTCTAAATACATTGTGGCCCTTAGTAGGTTTAATGAGGGGTGAAACATCTATAAAGATTTAAAAAATAACTATGAAACTGACAAAAAGCTGGCTGCTTTTTATGTGTCAGCAATTTAAAACTATGTCAGTGACAGAATATTCTTTGGAAGAAATCTCAGTGTTTTAAACAATTGTTGGAATCACTGTTGATTTTAAATAACAAATTAGCATATTATTATGCTACTAAATCTAGTATTCTACATGAATGTTAAGGAATACTTAACTATACAGTGAACCCCCGACAACTGTAGGTTCTGCAACATGTTCATTTCAGGAGGAAAGTCCTTTGGTTCATAATTGCTCTGCCTTGCTGTAATGGTTGTTAATCTTAATCAGTTTGATTGGATTGAGAAACAACGAGGAAATGAGTAAATTACATTTCAGGGTATGTTTGTGAGAATGTCTGTGAGTTTCTGTGACCAGATGGGGCATGTGAGACAGCAGTCTGGCGGGGGAGACCCACTTGAATGTGAGTAGCACTGTTTAGTAGATGGGGGCTGCCTGGACAGGACAAAAGTGAAAGACGGAGGAAGTCCACCAGCACAAGCTCTCTGTTTCTCTGCTTCCTGGCTTCCATGATGTGAGCGACTTTTCTCTGCCATGTGCTGTGCTACACCACAGGCCAAGAAACAATGGAGCCAAGTGACTATGGACTGAAACTTTTGAAACTCTGAGCCAAAAGGAATCTTGCTTAAGGTTTAGCTTTCAGATATTTAGTTGATTTTTTCAGGCATTTAGTTGTGCTAATGGAAAGCCAATGTGTGTGCTATGGATTTAGTTTGTCTGCTGATATTTGAGGTATGATATGTTCTTGAATTTAAACAATAGATTTGATTTAAAAAGATAGCAAAGTGATTGTTGAGATGAAGGCAGATAATTTGTTTCTTCAATTCTATCATTTCGTATGATTACTTGGGATTTTTTTGTATTTATAATTTAAGAAAATAAAACAGTACCAATGGTGAGCATAATATTTCATCAGTAAAGGCAAATTTTAGTACTGGATTAAATATTTTACTGAATTTAGATATATATATTGTAAATTAAAATTCAATCTTTTAATATTATTAACTGCTTTAAAAATAAAAAAAGATTAAGAAAATAAAAGGTTACATTTTTAACAGTATTTAATAATTTTTAAATTATATCTCTTGTAGACATTTTGGTTTTGTTAAAATTCACAAATTAGCTATTGGACACATAATGATCTACAAAAACATTATTATATTAGACTATAACTCATATTAAAATTCAAAATATTAGATATATAAAAGTAATTTATGGGCAGGGAGTTATAGCTCGTGGGTAGAGCCATTTGACTAAAGTGTTCAAGGCCCTAGGTTCAATTCCTATCAATACAAAACACTTAAATACATATTTTTCCTTTCTTTTGGCTATATTTGTTTAAAATTTTTAATGTTTTAGCACAATTATGTAATATGCAGTTCTTTAAAAATTTTTTCGCTGTCTGCTATTCTTTTCTGGCAGTTATCATTGTGATTGCATTTTTGATATATGGAGGCATGGGGGACTACAGAATGACCAGCTCTCAGTGTGAAATTGCATTGTGCACCACTGATCCTGTCACTTCATTGAAGCACGAAACTGGTTGTGCGGTTCATCTGCAAGTTTCTGCCACTACTAAGCCGTGGAATCTGATTAATTTTTCTGACTCATCCTTCCTAATAAAAAGTGTGGATTAGATGACTTCTAAGTTGTTTTCCAGCTCTGAAATTTAGTGATACACACTGAGTTTTGTACTCATCCAAGGTAAGTGCACACACACAGTGTAGTGACACCAAGAGGCCGAACCCCACTGCCTGGACCACCCAACATTAGCCCAGGGCAGCCTGCTGGTGCAAGGCAGGAGCTTCAGCAATGTGCCTTCGTGGAAGCAAGGAAGCAAGCATGGTCAGAAAGCAAGGAAGGGGATGGTGATGGATACAAGAGGGCAAGGCAAAGCAGAGCATGTATTCATTCATATGTCTGGACAGCAGCGATCCCCACCCCCAGCCCCATTCCAGGTTCACCTGCTGTGTTAGGTGCAAGCGCACTCACCACATTCCAGAAAAATGGATTAAAAGCGATGGTGAGGACGGCTGCCCCAAAGCTGGAATCCAAAGGATCCACGTAGTGCAGCAGCCAGGTCATGACGCAGAGATCTGCCTGCAAGGAAGAGCGGTGTCAGCCAGAGGTCACCCGGTGCCACTCAGAGACAGCAAGGACCTGGCCCCAAACATGGAGACAAAGTTACCCTCCAGGAACAGGCCAGGAGGCTTGGGAACATCTATATCCAGCCAAGGCTACCACATTGTAGTCATAAAATGGAGATAAAAAGCAAAACCCAGTCATCTGTGTCGTGCCCTGTCAGAAGAGCAGCTGGGCTGGCAGCCGCAGAGGCGGGCATGGCACTCACTGGACGAGGAGCTCAGCAACTCTGAAGATGGCATTCTGCACCCTCAAAAGGAAGTGACACCGGGCCTGGTCTGACTGGGACCCTGCAGGATAAGGGTCTCAGAGGCCCAGTGAAAACTCAGGAGACCAAAATGTATGTGAAGAGACACTTGGCGTCACCAAAAATCGGTAAAAGCAAATCACGATAGTAATGTGCCTCTTCTCACCGAAACGTAACAAGAGACCATCTAGAGTGTCGCTGAGGGTGTGCACAGGATCTAGCAGACTGACAAAGGATGTTGCCAGGTCTCCATAGCCCGGTGGCCCACCCACCACACACAAGCACATGCCAGCATGCTCCTGCCAGCCTGCAGCAAAATGGTCAGAGACACTAAGGTGGACCAAGGTAAGCTCACCGGTAGAGGCTTGCCGAACATATCTTATATGAGAACTACCTAGATGCTGTCAACAGACCGAAGGAGAAACACAACGTGGTCCATGTATAAATATCGAAGGCACAGAAGCTTAAAAAAACTAGATCCACACTGGACATGATGGCGCACTCCTATAATCCCAGCCCTTAGGAGGTTGAGGCAGGAGGTTCACAGTGAGTTCAAAGCCAGCCTGAACTATATAGGAAGATCCTATCTCAAAAATAAATAAACAGGCCGGGGATTTAGCTCAGTGGTTTCACCACCTGCCTTGCAAGCACAAGGGCCTGAGTTCAATCCTGGTATCAAAAAAAAAAAAGTAAATTGGAGCTTCAATGTATGTGGCTTTAGGTCTACTAGAGAAGCTGCTGTAGGAAACAGTAATGAGCTGACCATCATTTAGGGATAAGAAGTCCTGAATCTTGATGTTATCTAAATGATACGTGTATATCGTCCCATTTTACTGGGGAAGAAATGGCCTTCCTGCCACAGATAGCTTGAATAAAGCACTGATCCGGCAAATGTGTTTTCTGCCTCATATGTGAGGGGCACTGCACTGGGATGGGGTAAACAGCAAATAGGAGTCTGTTCCAAAGTGCATACGTGCCTTAGCATAGAAGTTAACAGCTCAACTGTTTTACAAAAAATGAATACTTAGGTGTGATTAGAAAAGTCACCTTTTTTTCTTTTTTCTTTTTCTTTTTTTAATCTGCACAGCTTCTCCCCATTCTCCAGGCCCTTTCCCACAAGAAAAGCCTGTTTTTTGCTCACTTCTCCCTGCAGCATCTTCATCAACTATTGTTCCTATGGTTTTGCTTCAGAAGCCTTTTGGGGTGTCTGTTGACTGAAAATTCATTCCAAGGAAAAATTTTTTGCAAGAATCTCTAAATTACTAATAGAAATAGTGCCAGGATTAAGTTATTTTTCAAACTTTCAATCTCTGCCTTGGCAATTGAGCAAGTTTTAGGTCAGGGAGACAGTCTTTAGGATGAGAAAAGTTAGGCCCAAACTCTTGAGACCAAGAGACCTCTGAAATAAAAGGGCTTATTGAGCTGTTCCCGATGCTAACCAAAAATAGGACTATGCCTTAGAACAGTTTCCCAAGGTCCCAAAACTATCAGCAGAGGGGCTAGGTGACAGTGGCAAAATATGCACTAGATCAGAGCTGAGAGCATTAAAAAAATAATAAAGGAAAGGAAGAAATAAGTTGTTTACATTGATCCTAACACTAGCTACAGAGAAGAGGGGAAAGATTATGTGAATCGGAGAAAGGTTTAGGATGGGAGGGCTGTCCAAATGAAGTAATTGCTGCTTTTGAACTATAAATAGGGCACAGTGTTGCTCATGGGGTTGTGATGAGATCTAAGTGGATTTTAATATTTACTGGGGAGCACATGGTGATCTTTTGTTCTTTTGGCCTATAACATGTTGACTTCCATTCTCTAGTCCTTATGATTAAATTTAGAGATCTTGGAATTTTTTCTTTTATTAGAAGTAAGTTGGGGCTGGGGATTTAGCTTGGTGGTTCCAGTGCCTGCCACGTAAGCACAAGGACCTGAGTTCAATCCTGGTATCAAAAAAAAAAAAGTAAATTGGAGCTTCAATGTATGTGGCTTTAGGTCTACTAGAGAAGCTGCTGTAGGAAACAGTAATGAGCTGACCATCATTTAGGGATAAGAAGTCCTGAATCTTGATGTTATCTAAATGATACATGTATATCGTCCCATTTTACTGGGGAAGAAATGGCCTTCCTGCCACAGATAGCTTGAATAAAGCACTGATCCGGCAAATGTGTTTTCTGCCTCATATGTGAGGGGCACTGCACTGGGATGGGGTAAACAGCAAAGCTAGGAGTCTGAATTCTATCCCAGAAGAACTATTAACCAGTGACTGTGAGATGTTATAGCTTATTATAGGAATCATGATTCTCATAAATTGAAGTGAGTCTAGAGTAGAATTACTAAAATGGTCAAAGGAACAGAGATGGTTTAATCTAAAAGGGGAAAAATGAAGAAAAAAATTAAAGACTATTAGAATGACATGGCAAAGGAGGGGATATAACTGCTTACAAATCTAAGGCACAAGTATGAAAAGGGAAGACAGGTGAGGAGCTGCCATATAAATGGGTGTAGTGGTTACACCTCTTCAGGTCTCAGGCCCTCAGTTTCCTTATCTGCGCAGTGAAGAGGTTGGGACTAGAAGAGCTGACTGAAATTCCTTCCCACTAGGACTCCTGTGGTAAGTTTACTCTGTCTATTTCTTGAGCTCCTTCTGAAATGTGAATGTGAAGGATCAGAGGAAGGCCAGCCTCTGAGGCCTTCACTGCTCTGGCTCCTGATCTTTTGTAGGGCAGTTTCTTTTTGACAGCAGCTTTTCTATTTCTATGTCCCCTTAAGTAGGGGATTACCTGCCTGGAGACATAATTAGCCTAATTCCCCCCTAGCAGGGTGTGACTGCAGGCAGATGATGCTGTGCTGGTGTGACATTATCAAATCCTAAAATAATATTCCTCCAGAAGCTCTATCCTCTCAAACAGGACACTGGAAGTTGATTTCCTAACCCCTCTCCTCCCCTGTCCTCCTTTCTCAGCCTTACTGCAGCCCAGAGATTCCACTCCTGGGAGTAGCATAGCACCTTCTGAGCTGACAGCAGCAGGCTGAGTAGGCTCTGGGAGGTTGAGGAGGCCTCCCTGACATGGCAGTGCAGTCACACACCCTGATTGCTCCCCTAACCCTGCCATTCTGCACAACGAAGTTCCGACCCCCCAGGGCTGGATCCATCCTGAGATTGTCAGTGTTCTTGCTTCGTTGCAGAAAGGAGCAGTCATAAAGTTCCCTCACTGCTTGGTAGGAGGGAGTCTGTGAAAGAAACCAGAAAGAGAATATCCCGACCCCCCAATATTCTTGTTATAAATCTTCGTGTTTTGTTATGCTTTTTGAGTCTTAGCCCTAAAAATTACTGTCTCTAGGAGGAGAGAACGAACAAGAGTCCCCTAAAAAAGGGAGCCCAGTCCAATTATTTCTTCCACAGCTACTCTTATTTATAAAGGGGTCCCCTTGAAGCCTCTTATACCCACTGGAGATCCATAATGTCCTAGCCAATTTGTGCGTTGGACAAACAGGTACTGATGCAAATCTAGTCATATTGCTCAGACTCTCACCTTTTGGGGTGCACTGTGGGCTTTGATCCCACCAGGAAGCATTGCCTGATTCCCTGTCCCCATGGATCTGGGCACAGTGTACCTTCCATCTGCTCCCTTCACACTTCAAACATTTCCTGTCATATCACTAAACCCCAGTCTCCGTTTTGTTTGCTTAGTCACCTGCCTCTTGCAGATTTTGAATCCAGGGAGTTGCTTTGGTCACTTCTGCAACTCCAGAGCTTCTGATAGGAGTCTACCCTACCATCTGACAGTCAGTCTACCCTCAATTAGTATTTCCTGAATGAACAAACAAGTGAATGGATTCCTTGTGTTCAGTTCTGAACCAGAAAGCTGCACCAAGTCTGCAAGAGGATGTGGCTCATTAAGTAACACTGCTTTCTGGTGCCTGAAGAAGTCAAAACAGCTTTGATTCAAAATGTTGGCAAAATAGACTGCCTCCACTATTTTGACTTTTGCAGAAATGAATTGATGAGGTAATACATTTTGAAGCAATGCCATAGAAATACACCATGCTGTGATTTTGAAACTGAAGTGCAACAGGGTCGTTGTACTTCTGGCTTGTGTCCTTGTCAGAGTTTAAAGGAATTTACTTACTGGTTCAACCTAGAAACCACAGAGCCATAAAGCAGCTTTCCTGTTTAGAGATAGGTTTTTCTTCCTTCATGGGTGGAGGAAGAGAAGTGGCACATGAGAATATATAATAAATTATAAGGGAGCGGGCAGCGCAGCCAGGACAGTGTTGGAACATTCTTTTTTTTTTTTGAGAATATTTACTAGAATGGTTTAAATCTTTGATTGTAAAGCTCAAGTGCAGAGTCTCTGTGGTCCTAGAACAACCCTCACACTTGTTGAGATGCCCAATTGAGAACTAAGGTGAATTTCCTGGATGTTTGAACATTTTATTTATGCAGCTCTACAATCCTAGCTCTAGTCAAACACGTGGTGGCATGATATATTCCAGCCTAGGGCTGGCTTTTGTTTATGGAGCCTTCCATTGTTACATGTTTTTATTTTACTCTTGCATATTTAATTTCACTTAGAAATATAACTACACTTTAAAAATCTTCTCCTAGAAGTTAAGGGGGGAGAAAGCAATGTGTCTGGCTTGCATTCGCATTTAATCTTCTTATACCTGTGGATTTTCACTGACTGGTGCTATTACCCTTTAAGTCTCAGTCACTGTGGCCGCTGAGTTCTCCACATGGTGCTGTCAATCACAAGGGATAATAGCCTTTGTCCCTGAGCACAAGTATGGGATAGTTATGTTAACCCTTCCCTAGATAAAAACAGATGGAATGA